TTCCCCTCTCCTGATGGAGGACAAAGTCCAAGAGTCACTTAAGTGGCTTGATGCTTTGCACCTATTTCTACTTTGGGGTCCGGCTGCAAAGGACACAATGTCAAGATTGTGAGCTTGGTCCTCTCGATTTTCCTAAGAAGTCCTGTGAGATCCTCCCTGCTCACGGGGCCGGGGGTGGGGGGTTGCGTTAGGTGGGCTCCGCTGCATCTGCCCAAACCTTCCTGTGTGGTGTGTGTGTAAAGAACGTCTTCCCTCTCAAGGAGGATTTCCTTAGACTAGAGGCCCAGCACGGAAATGGCTGGGCAGAAAAGCATTAGAGATGAGCCTGCTGAGAAGAAACAGAAGAGCAAAGGTAAACACAGAGCCTGCTCCCAGGTGACTAGAAGCTTGAGCTCCCTCAGCTGGAGCCCTGTGTGGTCCTCTCTCAGCCTGGGTGGTCCTGAGGCCATTGGAAGCTGGGTTAGCTGGTTACCTAGTGCTGCTGTAGCAGAAAGGAGCCCTGGCGGCGTAGTGGGTTCCAAGTTGGGCTGCTAACCTCAAGGTCAGCAGTTCGAACCCAGTCTAAGGAGGGGAGGTGAAGCTTTAGCTTTCTGCTCCTGTCTCAAAAACCCACAGGGGCAGTTCTTCTGGGTTCTCTCTGAGATCAAAACGATAGTGAGGTTTGAGTTTGGACCCGTGACTGAAATACCACCAGTGCCTGTCTTGAGCAGGCGGATTCAGGAGGCCCCGGGTCTGAATTCCAGGCCTGGCTTCTCGTAGCTGTGGCGTTCCTTTGTATCCCTTGGCATGTGGAAGCATCCCGAGTGTCCGTCCCCATGCGGCATCTTGCCCTTTGTGTCTCTTCTGCTCTCTTTTCAAGTGACTGAGAAGTGATTCGGTAGAGGACCCACCCGACATTGGTATGACCTCATGAACATGGAAGAAAGCCCTGTTTCCAAACAGGGTCCCATCCACAGGGACAGGATCAGGACTCCAATCCATAATCATCAGGGGCCATAATCCAATCCATAGAGAGAAGACAGAGAGGTAGGAGCAGGGCTGAAAAGCAGGAGGCCGCCACTCTCTCCCTTGTTTGAGGGCTTTGCGGACGACATCCAATCCAGGTCTCTGCCATCCAGGAAAGGACGTGGAGCTTGGATGTCACCTGTGCACCAGAGGGCAAACGCAGGGGCTGATTAAGGGACGGTCACACAGCCAGCAGCAGAGCGAAGAAGAAGCAGAAAAAAAATCAGGATGGTGACCTTTGTGTCTCAGTTTTAAAGAAAAAGTGGATGAGGACCTAATGTCAGGGGTTTAAATGGAGAGAAAATGTTTTGAGAAACGATGTACAAATGCGCTTTACACAATTGATGTGTGTATGGAGTGGGATAACAGTTGTATGAGCCCCTAATAAAATGTTAAAAAAAAAAAAAAAAGAAAAGAAAAGAAAAAGTGGGCTCTCAATGTAGACTGCCCTTTTGAAAGCTGTCTTTGGGGAGGCTGGACCCTGAGGAGAACCAGTCAGAGAGGGAGGCGTCGGGGTGAGCGAGCGCTCTGGGCTCAGAGAAGGAGACTGCGTGTCCTGGCTCTGCAGATTGAGTAGATGAGGGCCCGTGGAGGGTGCCCCAGGATCCCTGGGCTCTGACATCTTCCCTGTGCTGTTCAGGCACGCCGTCCTGTTCTTCTAGGATTCTCAAGGTTCTAGCATCTGTCCCAAGGAAGGCGAGGCTGGGAAGTACGATCTGCGTGTTTCATAAGATCCCTGTGGCTGGTGGGCCCTGGGTGTGGGGCCCCATCCTGACCATGTGTCCGGGTAGCCTCCATCTGTCTGGTGTCTTCGTGCCTTTTGCAGCTCCCTGGCCTTCTGCCTTTGGGCCCCTTCCTAACACGGAGGGACGCATAGTGGAGAAAGGAGGAGAAGCTGACAGCACAGGGTCCTGGCGGGTGGGACAGAGAGCAGAGGCCCTGACCTCCCTCAACCACCAGCTGACCTCTTGGGCGCCCCCTAAGCACCGCCATAGCAGGGTCACAAGTGGGGGACTGACTGGGTGGGCTGGGTCACATGGCATTGAGCAGTGTGCCCCAAACCAGCCCTTCAGTGGCCAGGGAACAATGAGGCATGGTGTGGTGGGCATGGAGAGGCCAGGGAAAGGCGGAGACTTGGTGGTCTCCTTGGCTCCCAAGGAGGGGCCTCACAGTGTCCTCTCACCCACCAGCGCTCTGGTCAGAGGGCCTGAGGGCTTCCAGCCAGGCCTGGTGCAGAGGCTGCAGCAGAGGGAGCAGCGACTTGGGGCTCTTGCCGTCCACCCGGGTGACAGGGCTATGCTTCTTTCCTCCCTGTGAGTGCAGCCAACTCGTTACCTGCGGTGCTTACGCTGGGGTCTCCGGAATGGGACGAAGAGGAGGAGGAGCTGGATCTCAGAGCCTTGAAGGAGCTCAGGCCTTTCTCCAACCCAGAGCTGGGGCTGATGGATGCCCTGCAGAGTCTCAGCAGC